GGGATTGATAAAATCATTTATTACTAGCTGTTGCCCTCGACTTCGTCCACGTGTAGTTAAAAAGTAGTAACATAGGTTATGGTACTTACTGATAGCGTAGCATTTTAATGGAAAATGATTTTTTTAAAAAAAATGTTTTTGAATTATTCCAACACATACAAAAATGCAAATCTCTACTCTTAGTATTATTAGTATAAATTACACTAATGACTGATTACAGAACAGGGAACAGCAATTGGGCCTGTCTAAGTAGTTTTCGTAGCATAGCTACGAAAAAGCTACGTAGCTTTCGGTAAGCTCTAAAATACGTCGTAGACAGTCACTTATATGTTATTAAATATCGGTTAACCAGCTTATCAGCCTTTATAAATATTGCACGACTATCACATTACGTCTTATAGACCACTAAAACATAATGTTCTCTCCCTTGTTTGACGGACTTGTGATATTTTACAAGATATTGTGTAATCTACCACTGATACTACGGCAAATAGTTTGAATTTAAACTGGACTTGTTTACTGGACTGGACAATAATTATAATGATACTAGCTGTTCCCGTGCGACTTCATCCGCATAAAATTATGAAAATCTTATTTCATTGTTTACATGTGTCCTATTATCATTTGTCAAAATGACATGACATGATGACAAATCATGGCAACCTTGGTTCCTTGATGTTGGCAGCAATTTATGTTCTCTTTCCCACTTTAGAGTTTTTATCCAAAATATTTTCCCCCTAAGATTTATAGCGTGAAAATGTATAGCCTAAAGCGTGACGTAAGTGTAGGGCTTTTTATTAAAAAAATAGTTATTAAAAAATATGCTGTAATTGCTGACATCTTAGGCAACAAAGAAGTGTGTGTTTACGCTTTATTATAATAGTATAGTAGTATAGATGCAAACTTTCACCAAGGAGTTGTTGCCACTATACTTGACAGATACGTAAATGTATCGCATTGCTATCAACATGGACTTATAAAAGTCAATACAACAACCGTATCCATTGATTTTTTGCCAAACCGGAAATGAGGTCCATAATAATCGCTTACTCAGTTTACTATAGTTCTGATAAGTAGTTTATTGAACGCGTAACGAAATGTTAACAAATACAAATTGCACAATACTGCCGGGATATTTCGCGCAAAGGCCGAAAAAAACAACACGCAACGATTTTGTTCCGTAGTGTAGGTAACCACTTATAAAATTCTAAAGCATATTACAATGTAGAACGAACGAAATTAAGTCTTGTCTTTTGAAAATTCCATTATTAATTTAGGTTAGGAAAAGGTAAATGAATTAGATTGTTTAATTTTGCAGTCTCTTTTATATTAAGGGAAGACTGAAGAATCATTTAACAGACAGTGCTACATACTTGTAGTTACTTGTGCTTGTAGTTCTGTCTTAGTCCACACTGTTGAGGATTGGTTGACTTCGTGTTTGATCTGGTTGGTATGATATTTGTTGACCTTTTTTTTACGAGAAGGGAGCAAACCAACAGAACTCCAAGAATCAATACCAGAGGAAATACAGTTGAGTAGTCGGCCTCTAAAAGATCGTGGTCACAACAGAATTTTCATATGCATTGTTCCAAAATCTAATATAGATAATTTCAAATTAAAACTACTGAACTCTGAGTCTAACAATTCCACTATCTGTCTGGATCCCGAGCTCACGAAGTTAGCTGGAGCGTCTTTGTTCAGACGTAAGTTCAACGACATCTACCGACCGATTGTGATCTTCGTAAGATTGTAATGGGTCTAGGCAGATTATATGAAGTCTAAATTGTGCCCTGAAAGAATCATAATTTGTTATGTCCTTCGTGAGTTTACAATTGTCGAAGTCCAATCGTCAGGATTTGCAAGCTTATCGCCCGCGAATCCGTCCGCGCGGAATTAAAAATAAGGTGAAGTATCCTATGTGTTCTTCTACCTATGCTCTATATCTGTGTCATATTTCATGGAGATCCGTTTGCGTACCTTTTAACAAACATCCATCTGAACATTTATATTAGTGAGATAATATAATGATATTTTTCAAGCTTTTCATCGTGTTCCAAATTCAAATTTGAATTTCATCGTGTTCCAAATTCAAATTTGAATTTAGAAACCACATATTTTCAGCGATGACTTCAATATTTTACATCAGTTCTGTTCGTTTACGTTCGTATTTTATCTAAAAGTGAACCCTTACATAAAATAAGACCCAAAAATATGTTGATTAAAGTGAATAAAAGATTTCAGGGCTTGTAAATTTAAAGTTAATCCAATATCGGGCGCCACCTGGCGGGCCTCGGAGCAACAATTTGAAGAGTCTAATCTCGTAAGAGACTGCATCAAACTTTGTCAAATTACGCTTGAAATCCAATGCTAAAGGAGATTGTAATAACATTTTTGGATAAGCTTAGATAATGACTATACTGTTTTTTTGTAGTTAAAATAGGAACGTGGTTAATTTTTCATACGACCTATATTTTGGAATAGGACATTAAAAAAATAACCGTCACGTGCAGACGGTTATTTTTTTTATGCAGATTATTTAGATCTACAGTGGTAGTGCCCGCTTTAACATCTTCGCACGATTGGGCCGGCTCGCCCCCAGCAATACCACGACCACACAGAAAACAGACGTGAAGTGAAAGCAATTCCGCGTTTTGTCTGATGAGTATGGTGCCGGAGGCCTAATTTTAGTCCCTTTCCCTTTCCACCCTTTTTAAGAGGAAAGAATGGGAAGGAAAAGTGGATTTGACGGTGGAGGAGATGCATAGGAAGGGGAAATGTCCTCTTTATGTGTGTCTCTTCCTCCATCAATTAAGGGTAGGGAACGCATCTGCAATTGCGGATGTTTATAGGCAGCGGTCGCTTTCCATTTCGGTGGATTCAGGCCGCTTGCTCGTTTGCCACCTTATATTATTAAAAAAATTGTCTATCAAAGAACTTGGTCGAGGGTACATAAAAATGGCTCCACAATTTAAAGACTGAAGACAATATTATAGTACTTAGATACTAAGAGAGTAGGGTAGGGCAGCTCCGAGGCGGGTATCTTATATCAATCTGGCAACACTTGTGATGAATGTCTCTCCGCTTTTAATATCTCTTTTTATTGCCTCCGCAAGTTTCCTATACCACAGGGTTGATACGTTGAACGTAATTACGAATAAAATATTTGTTTTGATACTTCGTTAATTGATAATAATTAAATCAATGTTTTAAAAAAAACATGAAAAAACATAAATAAATGTCGCTTAATATTAAATTACTTGTTCTTTTGTTTTTCATTGTAACTTTCTTATGAAACCTAAGTTTGTTTTTATTTTTAGTAAGATTGTATTTATTAAAACGACTATATATCCACAATAGAAGAGATAAAATAATTTATTTGATAAGTGTCAACCCTAACAGTAGAGAGGTCGTGTCCGTGTTGCCATGTTGTGTTTATTCCCTGTTTACGGGCGTTATTTCTCGTTCAGTTATGTTTTATTGCATTGTTATGATAGTTTGTTTTTCGAGATGGATTTGTTTGAATACGATTGGCAATGCTCATGGCTTGTTTGTTTCGAATGAAATACGATAACTGTCAAATTATAACAAACTAGCTGTTGCTTACGTCTTTGGCTGCATGAAATTTAAAAATATTAAAACATATAGCCTATATTACTCACTGATAACGTAGCTTTCTAATGGTGAAAGATTTTTTTTAAATCGGCTTAGTAGTTTTTGAGTTATTTCAATACATACAAAAATACAAATCTTTCCTCTTTATAAGACGAGTACAGATATAGACTAGTATAGAAGTACTGAAGTTATTTTTTTAATTTGTTTTAAACAATATGCAATATATCTTAATATCAATATTTTAAAATGACCCACGATCATAACCTAAATTGAATTTACGGTTATTGGCGGCTCAATCAGTGTCTACCCACAGAAACAGACGGCTTGATTAATTTATTATTGTTACATCCCGCCTTGACCTCTACATCAGCACTGAATTGACTTATTAAAACTTTCGCAAGACAATATACGATGAAGGAAAACATGATGCAACCTGCACATATCGGCGAAGAAATTCAAAGATATATGAGAAGTTAACCCACAGTACAGCGTGACTAAGGCCTAGTCACCTCTTACTTAGGGTAGGCTTGCCCTTTAGTGGGGACGTATAGTGAGGTGGTGATGATAATGAGCCATTACAGTATATTAATTACGAGCTGTCGCCCGCAAATTTCGTAAGCGCTTTGGACCACTCGTTACGCCATTTTGACAGCGCGGACTTAAAAAAGTACCCTATAATATGACAAAGACGGATATGTCAGCTACCCTTCAGTGAAAGACCAGTCGATATCGATCCAGGCGTTTCGGAGATTACCCGGAGCAAATGCGGCTTGCGGAGAGACAGACAATTTTTTTTCAAGAAATCTGAATTTTGATGTTACAGACACTTTAACATTATTATAGGTACATATAAAACATGGCTTAACTCACGTGACAACCTTCTGTGTAGGCATCGATTCGTTTCGAAGCAGTTGGGGGCCCATCTTCAGGTTAAGTGATTAGCGGCTTTGCTCGCTATAGCATCGGTCATTGTACTGGTCGGTGCCTACACCAAAGGTTGTCACGTGATCTCACGTGTCACAAGCAGTATTTTATAAATAAAACTAGCTTCCGCCCGCGACTCCGTCTGCGTGAAATTTATAAAAAAAAAAATAAATAAATATACCGACGAATCGAATACCTCCTTCTTTTGGGAAGTCGGTCAAAAAAGCAAGTACCCTATGTGTTCTTCCAGACTATCCTCAACATCTATGCCAAATTTCATCGAGATCCCTTCAGCCGTTTAGGCTACAAACTCTAACAAACATCCATCCATCCATCCATCTAAACTTTCGCATTTATAATATTAGTAAGATTGAATTGATGTTTAATTGAACACTGCAAAGATGTCTTTTGTTTAAATTATGTATTAGGGGTTGATTTACAGTGTAAATTGTCTTTATGTGTAGATGCGCCGGCGCAGCTGGTGATCGCGGCGGGATGCAGGGCGGCGCGCCCGCCGCGGACGCCGACCAGGCGCAGTTCGAAGCGGACAAGCGCGCTGTTTATAAGTAAGTCACATCTATGTTAAATTTTTTTTGTTGTAGGATATTCTTTTACTACCGTTAATATAACCTATATAAGTGCAGACAGAGCAGAATACGTTTATATGTTTATTGTCTTTGACATTGGATAACAATTACCGTTACCATAATAGCCTTGCTTCCTTAATGTTGGCAGCTTGTAGTTTATTGGTCCCTTTCTCACATGAAGGTTTTTCCAATCTATTTACCCCCTTAAGTTGAAATTATATAGCCTAAAGCGTGTTGTAAGAGTAGGGCTTTTTATTAAAGTAACAATTACTACGGCCACGAAGTAGTGTATGTTTACGCTTTATTATATTAGTACTAGCTGTCGCCCGCGACTACGACCGTGTGAAAAACAAAAGCGAATAGCCCATATGTTCTTCCAGACTATCCTTTACATCTATGCCAAATTTCATCGAAATCCGTTCAGCCGTTTAGGCTACAAACTGTAACAAACATCCATCCATCTAAACTTTCGCATTTATAATATTAGTATGATAGACCAAAAAGTAAAATTTCCCGGCTGGTGTTCCAGACACCCCCTGTTTCCGCTGCTGGCGCTGCTGCTGGAGCGGTGCGAGCAGGCGACCGCGGGGGCGGAGGCGCCCGCGGCGGACGCGTTCGGTGCAGACCTGCAGGCCTTCGTGCAGCACCAGCGCCGCGACCGCCGCCCCTTCCTCGTCGACGACCCCGAGATAGATGGACTTATGATTAAGAGTATACAGGTATTCAAATTTAGGTCGAAATTAAACCTTATTACCGGTTATTAATGACTAATTTAGTTTACTACAAAAAGTCGTAGAGTAAAATCAAATAAGTAATTTATAATAGAGTTTTTAAATACACATATTGATATCATCGTTAAAAATACTTGAGTGTTCACCTTATAATAATTTGTTTATATTAAATTCCGTTTGTTCGTTTGTAGTCGTATAGTAGTCTTATAACACTAGCTGTTGCCCGCGACTTCGTCCTAACTAGGGTGGCCCCTGTATGATGGATCACCATGCCTCCGCCCCACAGGCCAATAATAAAAAGTAGAAATAAAAATAGTAAAAACATAGCTTACGTTATTCAGCGATGACGTAGTTTTTTAATGGTGAAAGAACTTTTGAAATAGGTCCAGTAATTTTTGAGTTATTTCCATACATATAAAAATCGAAAAATATAAATCTTTCCCTTTTAACTTATTACTTCATTATAGATATACATAGATGAAGATTCTTAATTTATTAGATTTATATTAACTAAATGTTAATACAAAGCAACTGTAAGTGTCTCCCGATGAGCCGGTTGGCCCAACTTTCGAACAAACTAATGAGTTTTTTCGATGGGGCCGATCTAGAAAGTAAGCCGGATGGACGTCGAGCAAGTGGTAGGCCGAAACTTAGATGGCTAGATGAGCTCGAATGCAAAAGGCCCAAAATAGACAGAATTGGAGAAGTTTACTGGACCTGGCCCAGGCCCACCCGCAGCTGAAGTGCCTCATATCACGATTATGATAAGGGGTCTAATGTCTGTTACCTCTATAAGTGCTACAATAAAGGGTTTGACAATGTCCAGGTGCTGCGGATCCACCTGCTGGAGCTGGAGAAGGTGCAGGAGTTGTGCCGCGACTTCTGCGGCCGCTACATCGCCTGCCTGAAGACCAAGATGCAGAGCGAGAACCTTCTCCGTACTGACTATACCTCAGGTAATACATTTACTTCTAGAACATTCCGTCTTACTTTGTGCCGTTTCATGTCAAAAACATTTTAATAATTTATAGACGAGAAGGTAAACAACCTTTTTCGGTACCTTCTCTGAAAGGTACTAAATCAATTTTCAAGTTTAGTGACACCTCATGTCCTTGTATTGGCATATACGTCCCGTCCCTATCTGTCAGTTGTCAATGTCATTCAGACGTAAAATAGCGCGCCAATTGGCCAATTGCTCTGAGTTTTTGAGTTAATTACGTTGTTATAACAGTGGTAGAGCCCGCTTTAACTTCGCACTGTAGGGCTCGCCCGGTGTAATACCACGACCACACAGAAAACAGGCGTGAAGTGGAAGCAATTCCGCGTTTCGTCAGATGAGTGTGGTGCCGGAGGCCTAATTTTAGTCCCTTTCTCTTTCCACCCTTTTCCAGGAAAAGGGGAAGGCAAAGTGGATTTGACGGTGGAGACGCATAGGAAGGGGTAATGTCCTCTTTATGTGCGTCTCTTACGTCAATTAAGGGTAGGCAGCGCATCTGCAATTACGGATGTTTATGGGCAGCGGTCGTTTTCCATTTCGATGGATTCAGGTGGCCGCTTGCTCGTTTGCCACCTTATATTATACTAGTATAGCTGTTCCTATGCGGTTTCATCCGCATAAAATTATGAATTTTTTTTATTATTGTTTACATTTGTCAAATTATCAATAGAAAATGTCAAAATGACATGACATGACAAACCTTAGCAATCTTTCTTTCTTGATGTTGGCAGCAACTTATGGTCTCTTTCCCACATTAGGGTTTTTATCCAAAATATTTACCCCCTAAATTTAATGGCGTGAAAATATATAATCTAAAGCGTGACGTAAGTGTAGGGCTTTTTATTAAAAAATAATTATTGAAAAATATGCTGTAATTGCTGACATGTTAAGCAACAAAGAAGTGTGTGTTTACGCTTTATTATAATAGTATAGATATAGATATATAAAAAAAACACTAACCTCGTACGTGTATCTCCTATAGCTGTCTCTGTCACTTATTACAGGTGGGATAGAGAGTAATAACAATTTATCAGGGACTATGGACGACCACTCCAGTACCAGTAACTCGCCGCAGTATCAGGTACCAAAAGTATGTTAATTTTATATTAATTGGAATAATTACCTTTTTTATTATTCAATTCTTATCGTTTAACTACATTTATAGGCCAAACGGAATTATGATATGGCGATGTTTTTTTTTTATATCCTTATAGCTTTCGCCCGCGATACTATCCGCTTGAAGTTAAAAAAAACAAAAGTAAGTAGCTTTTGTGCCCTTCCAAACTATCCATAGAGGACACATAGAGTGTATACCAAATTTCATCGAGATCCATTCAGCCGTTTAGGCTACAAACTGTAACAAAATCCGTTCTAACTTCTCGCATTTATAATATTAGTAAGTAAGTATTTTTTGTCGATAGATGGCGTGATTTTTAATATTCCTTTTCACATAAACGGTATTGAACTGTGTGTTTCTAAATATGCGCTTATCTTTGACTAAAATATCGCTCAACGGTTGTGCGATTGTCATTTGTTTCGCATCCAACTGTTTAGTTGCACAACTTCATATAAACTCATATAAATCAAAGCAAACAGTTATCCGTTAATTTCAAATGTGCGGACGTTTTTAAGGTAAATATGTAAAAAAAAATCTCTTCGTACAGTCGCCGCCAGCGCCGTTAGCGGCGGCGTACCCGGCAGTGTTCCCGCACGCGGTGCCGCTCGCGCCGCACGCGGAGCTGCACTACTCGCAGCCGAGAGACGCCGGTCGGTATACACTAGCGTGAGACTACTACTGATAACGTAGCTTTTAATGGTGTAAGAATTTTTGAAATCGGCACAGTAGTTTTTGAGTTATTATTGAAATAACTCGAAAACTACTAAAAAAAGTTGCTTCCGTTGCTATTCCCGTGCTTTATCCTCATGAAATTATAAAAAACTTTATTTTATTGTTTACATTTGTCAAATTCTCAATTGCAAATGTCAAAATTACCGTTACCATAATAACCTTGCTTCCTTAATGTTGGTAGCATGTAGTTTATGATCCTTTTCCCGCATGAGGGTTTTTATTAAAGAAAATTCAAAAGATCAAAAATATTCTGTGATTGCTGACATCATAGATTCATTCATAAAAATATCGGGTTTTGTTCCCTTATCTGACAGTGACGTCATTTTTAAGCTATCTGAGCCTCTATCACTAGGACAGTCCCTTAGTATTGCAGTGCACTAACATTGTTACAATTATACTTTTTTCTAAAATATCTAAATTATGTTAATACTAGCTTATGCCCGCGACTCCGTCCGCGTGGAATTAAAAAAAACAAAAGCGAGTAGCCTATGTGTTCTTCCAGACTTTGCTCTACATCTGTGACAAATTTCATCGAGATCCGTTCAGCCGTTTAGGCTACAAACTCTAACAAACATCCATCCATCCATCCATCCATCCATCCATTCATCTATCTATCCATCCATCCATCCATCCATCCATCCATCCATCCATCCATCCATCCATCCATCCATCCATCCATCCATCCATCTAAACTTTCACATTTGTATTATTAGTAAGATTAGTAAGATTAGTAAGATTGCTCTTTTTAGACGACTACTTTTACTGAAAGTCGTTTAAATCAGTGTAACCTATCCATTTGTACAGATCAGTGATATCAGTTGATAACAATGACACTTCTTATTCCAGCATCCATGGTGGTGCAAGGGTCGACGCCCATCAGTCAAATTGGAGCTGGCCTCGTAGCGGACACCTTCACAGGTAACTTCCTATAGCGGACATCTTTGACAAAACTATCGCATAACAGTTTAGTGTTCAATTGATTCCTATGACCCAACTTTAGTCTATTTTCCTTCCCAACCTTTTTTTAATAAGAAAATAATGGGAAGGAAAGGTAGATTTGAGGAGGAGACGCATAGGAAGGGGAAACATCTGCTTTGTATGCGTTTCCTCCGTCGATCAAGGGTAGGCAATGCTTCCGCTATTGCGAACTTTGGGCAGCGGTCGCTTCGCCATTTTGGCGGTTTCAGGTGGCCGCTTGCTCATTTGCCACCTTATAATATAAAAAAAAAATATATAAATGATAAAAGGGATTAAAAAGTTTTCCTTATAATGCTATTAAATTCAGACAGCAAATGAGTTTTTGAGGTTATTTGTCTTATTTAGGTACGAACTCTAGTACTTCTAATCAGTCTGCGCTGTCGGTGTCGTGCTCGTCGGTGTCGGGCTCCCCGCCTCCCGACGACGAGGAGGAGGGCGGCAAGCGCGGCGTGCTGCCCAGACACGCCACGCAGGCCATGCGCGCCTGGCTCTTCCAGCATCTAGTGGTGAGCACCACTCTTACTTGAGCTCCGCCAAATCGCTCATAACAATATGTTACAAGAGTCGGGTAGACACAAAAGACAAACGAAGGATTTAAATTGATTTCAGTAAGTTATAAATGTGGAGGAACATCGGTAGAGGTAGACTTAGAAAGAGATGGATTGCGTGAAAGGTGACATGATCAAAAAGGGAGTGACTGATATGAGTATGATAGAGTTATTCGAAGAAACAGTGGTAGTGCCCGCTTTAACATGTTAGCAGTGCAGGGCCGGCACGCCCCCAGTAATACCACGACCACACAGAAGATAGGCATAAAATGGAAGCAATTCCGTGTTTCGTCTGATGAGTGTGGCCGGAGGCCTAATTTAAGTCCCTTTCTCTTTACCACCCTTTTCTTATAAGAAGAGGTTGGGAAGAGGAAGTGGATTTGACGGCGGAGGAGATGCATAGGAAGGGGAAATATCCTCTTTATGTGCGTCTCCTCCTCCGTCGTATAAGGGTAGGCAACGCATCTGCAATTGCGGATGTCTATGGGCAGCGGTCGCTTCACCATTTTGGCGGCTTCAGGTGCCCCCTTGCTCGTTTGCCACCTTATGTTATAAAAAAAAAAAAGAAAGAAAACCCGGTGCGTCGAAACTAAAAGAGTAGGATAAGGTAAGAGAGAAGATGATTAACAAACAGCCTGGAATGTCAGTGGATTAGGGATCACTTGACTTGTAAACAAGTCCTGGGTTCGAATCCCGCTGTACCAATGTGATTTTCGATTTTAGAATTTCATAAGTACATGATTTACCCGATGTTCTTACGTTGACGGAAATCGTGATACACATATCCGCGAAGAAATTCAGATATGTGTGAACTCAACCAACCAGTAGTGAGCCAGCGTGGTTGACTACGGCCTAGTCATTAACTTAGGGTAGTTTCGACCCCTTCGGTAAGGATCTGGTGATGATGATGATGAAATTCGCAGCACCCATACCCGACGGAGGAGGAGAAGCGGTCGCTGGCTGCGCAGACGCGGCTGACGCTGCTGCAGGTCAACAACTGGTTCATCAACGCGCGCCGCCGCATCCTGCAGCCCATGCTCGACTGCAACGACAAGCCGGGTACCACCCCACACTTAAAAAACAAACCCCCCACCACTCGCTACGCAGACCCTTAAATTTCCCATTGGTTAATTACTCAGACCCTAGGACCTATTACAGGCAGAGCTCTCCTTACTCAGACCTCCGGTCCTCCCATTATACAGACCCCAAAACTCACATTATTTAGAACCCCAAATCGCCCAATACACAGATCCCAGACTTCCTACATAGACCTATAAATCCCCCCGCTCTTAGATCCCCAAACCTCCCATTTCACATATCCCTAAATCTCCCATTACTCCGACCCCCAGACTTCCCATTACATAGAACCGCATACTCTTCATTACAGGAACCCTTACACTATCTGCGTTTGACGTCTTAAGTTTTGTATAATAATTTACACCTAAAACTAATTTAAAATTTATATTTACCTTTTTTAATTTTCCAGGAGGAAAGAAAACTAAAAACGGTTCGTCGATAAGCAAAAGGTATTGGCCGGACGCGCTCACCAACCCGCAGTACACGGCCGGTAAGTGATAATTTTAACACGTTGAATGCGGAACCAGGTTAGCGTGGTATGGACATAATATGCGACGAAATGATGGGGACATAAACCAGAAAGTGTTGAGATTGAATGTAGATGGCTACAAAGGAAGAGGAAGACCGAAGAAAGTATGAATGGATTATGTGAAAGAAGATATGCTTAAGAAAGGAGTGGATTCAGATATGACGGCTGATAGAGATGTATGGAGCAGCACAGACTGTGCCGACCCTCCATAAGGGATAATGGCAAGTGGATGATGAATGCGGAACCAGGTGGGAACACCTGGTACGTATCTGATATACAGGGTGTGATACACCTGGTATCTCAGGAACTGAAAGAATAAAAAAATCTCTGCTGCTAAATTTGTTAAAAGTATAACCTATTCGAAATTATTGTTCACTAGCTCGCCCGCGACTACATCCGTGTGGAATTAAAAAAACAATAATAGTAGCCTATGTGTTCTTCCAGACTATGCTGTACATCTGTGCTAAATTTTATTGAAATCCGTTCAGCAGTTTAGGCTACAAACTCTAACAAACATCCATCTAAACTTTCGCATTTATACTCATAATATTAGTAAGATTACACTTTCTCTTTGTCTTGGTTTTCCATATTAAAACTTCTATATTGGGAAGGGGATGCTTAGGAAGGGGAAATATACTCTTTCAATGCGTCTCTGTTAATTATAGATATACAACGCATCTGCAAATTCGGATGTCTGTATGCAGCAATCAATTCGCTATTCTGGCGAATTCTGGTAACCGCTTGTTCGTTTGTCATCTTATAAAAATGCTGACTACTAACTGAAATAGTTTTCAAACTGGAAACGGAAGTTGTTTGTTTTTTAATAGTTTTTTTTTTTAAATTCCAGGTTTGTTATCCTCTTCAGAGGACGAAGAGCAAGAAGGAGAGCAGTCAGGTGATGAGCAGGAGAGCCAGCAGGAGGAGGTGAATGATCCCGCATACCCTATACAGCAAACCATGCACTAAACTCTACATTCATATTTTTATATTTAAAATCCGAAAAACAATCCCTATTTCCAATCCAGAATATAGTAAATCTCTTTAATCTGTGACAGAAAAAAAATGACGATATGAAAATTGTCTGTGGTTGACCACAGATAAAAGAAAACGTAAAATTGTGATGATAATCTTAGAATTTTGATGTACTCTAGTACTTAAAACGGGAGTAAATAAACAAATTGATATTCTTTTTAAATTCGGTAAAAAGAAAAAACTCAATGATCACATAAAATCTGGTGTTTAATCAAAAAACAGCAATTATTCTGAGTGTGCATTGAAATTTAATTTTATAACGATTTCATTATTAGAGAAATTTAAAAAGTGCATGTTTTTTAAAAGGGTTTATCAAATAATTTGATCTTATGCAAGTTGCCTCTTGTTTTTATGTATTTTAAAGAAAAAAATCACTTTCTAATATCTAACATAACCTAAAAAATTGACAGTTGTTTTTTTTAATTCATAATTAAAGGTTTTACAGTTGTCTATGATTTAAAAATGCTGTTTTAAATCCATAAACGAGAGACAGCTTGTCATTTTGGCGGGGAGTTACAACTTTTTTTTTAAATTAAAAAGACATTGTTACTGTGTATACCATAGTTGTAAGATAGCATAGAAACTTGTATACGTAATTCGTACCTCACTATTTTAAAATTCCTAAATATTCTTACAGTTACGCTTTATTGATAATGTCACTATTTTGTGGGAGTTTTATTTTTAATTTTAGTGTAGTAATTCGAACACAGATTATGCAGTAAAGAAAAAAATATATAAATGTGATTTCAAACAGAAATTGTTGAAAAAATCCTTTATGATTTTTTTTTTAATTCTCTATAGCATAATATGTGTTCGAATTTCAAAGTTTACGGAAAATTCGATTCTCATTCACATGATATTAACAATGCAGATGTATAGATAATATGACTTATTTTGTATTACATTGAGAATCGAATTAAAAGAAAATGGCATATTTCACTGCAGACATCTTCCATGTAAATAAGTCTGTAGATGAAATATTTCGTTTTCGAATTAATGTGGCAACACCATCTAGTACACGTCATAATATAAACCAAATAAGGCCTAATTATTACAAAAGAAAACGATATTAATGATTAATATGGTAATATGTTTTATTTTCTACTTTTAACGCTATTTACTGGGCAAAATAATTTTTAAATGATCATAGTTTTGATGACAATTCGGATGGTGTTGCCATATGTAAAGTGAAATCTCCCCAATATAAGGTATAATTTGCAGCTATTGATGCCTTTAGTTGATAACGCTTGTGAACAGGTGTTCGTCAATTTTTAAGCCGGTTGTGAGTAAAGTAGTTTATTTTTTTCGTTTCCACCCTGTTTGCCGACTGAACAAAATGAAATAGTGTTAAGAATATTTTTACCACGAAAAAAAACTATAGACAATACCGTCCATAGACAGAAAATTGTATTTATTTGTATAAGCATAAGTTTTAATATACTCATTGTGCCTGTTTTCTTTTTAATTTGTGCAGCCATATTAGTGTAGGTTGTAATTATAAGTATTTTAAACGATTATACGAAATTATACGATACCAATTTGTATACTCAAAAAGATTATCTTGATTCAAAAAACTGTATACGCGTAAATATATCGAAAGTTTTTTAAATTTAGATGTAATTTTTTTTAATTCGGACAAATGGACAGTAGCTTAACGGGAAATTAAAAATATATAGCAATAAAGTCTATTGAAAATACGATTTTTATGTATACGAATTTTTCTTCAAAATTATTCAACTATTTTGTGCAATAATAAAAAAAAATTTTTTTTCCTTTAGCGTTTGGAAAAATCGTTTTTTTTTATAAAAATCAATAAGCAATTAAAAAATATAGTTACATATTAGCATTATTCGGATGTAGTTTTCAATCTTCACTGATTTTTGCCTATATTTTGATAAATGTAAATAAAAACCTAATCCACAGATTTTTTAAAGCTTTTTATGTGTCATGACATTTTTTTAGACTGATAATCGTCGAGTCAAAATCAATTTAATTGATTTTTTTGCAAAACAGTCATATAATTATTTTTAATCTGTATTCTTTAGCAATCATAATAAAATAAACTCAATAAATTACAAGCTATTGATATTTCTTAATTTTCATTACGATAATTTTATAACGAAATGCCTAGTCTAAACACAATGCAATTTGCTTATATCTAAGGTAATTGCGACTGGCAACTCTAAAAAAATAAGCAATAATGTACCGTATTGTTTTTTTTCTGCGTTTAAAAAATATACGGCTTTATAATATTAGGATATCGTCAGATATACGATGTAACGGATATACGTAATTGATTAGTGACAAAAAATAAGTTTTTCTACGGTAAATTTTAATTCAATTGTACGTAACTTTAGTCATAATAAAATGTATTTTTAAAGTATTTTAACGATACATGTCTTAAGTAAATCTTCCGTTAAGACATTCAGTATTATATAAAGTATAGCAAAAAATGTCCACTTTTTAGTATACTATAGTTGTTAAGAAATCGCGCTTGTTTAGATATTGTAAGCATCTTCGTGCAAGGCTACGCTAATCTGCGATTTTAGTCTCTAAGCGACTTAAGTTTCCCAAATTTTAAACATAACTTCATGCGTTTCCACTACGTATTACTTCGTTGAAACATAAACTTAACACCAATAATAAATGGAAAATTCAACACAGTAGATACTGAAAATCGCATATTTACGTATCCTTACGAAGCGGCTAAGAGACATTTCAAGTTGATATATAAATATGGCATAATATTTTACTAGTCAATAAACTACAGTCTCTCTGAATTTTCATCTTTATTTACTTTCCCTTACCTTACACTACTCCAACTCTAACTCCAAATAACTATCATCCATCTCAGTCACTCCTTTCTTGATCATGGGGTAGAGCCCGCTTTAACATCTTCGCACGAATAGGCCGGCTCGCCCTGTGTAATACCACGACCACACAGAAATCAGGCGTGAAGTGGAAGCAATTCCGCGTTTCGTCTGATGAGTGTGGTGCTGGAGGTCTAATTTTAGTCCCTTTTCTACAGACTCTTGGTCCGTACTCTTTTAAGCACAGTTTTTTTTTGCGTAATCCTTATAACACTAGTGAGTTCCTTTTTTTAAAATACTTTTTTTTTTTATAAATACAATTATACTAGTTTTGGTAGTTTTAGTTACAATTATACTGGTTTTAAAGTTACTAGTCCCCTGGACTTACTACGTCTTTTGTGGGGGATATGGGTGTTGCCAGGTCATTATTTAGGGGAGGGGGCTATTATATGCTCTTAACATATTAAATGGTGAAAGAATTTTTGAAAACGTCCCAGCAGTTTTCGAGGTCTATACATACGAAAATACAAGTCTTTTCTCTTTATATTATTAGTATAGATGTAAAAAAATCATTAGTAACATTTAAAAATATTAATAAATCTCATATTATAAATGCATAGTTTAGATGGATGGATGTTTTTAAAGTTTGTAGCATAAATTGGTGAACAGATCTCTATGAAATTTGCCATAGATGTAGAGTATAGTCTGGAAGAACACATAAGATTCTCACTATTGTTATTTTTTAATTCCACACCGACGGAGTCGCAGGCGAAAGCTAGTGAGAAATAAAACTATGATCACATTACCCATAATTTTATTATAAACAAATTTTCAGATACAAAAATTATTATCTTAATATTTACAGAAGTTATTATTAAAAAAATATGTTCAACAAACACCCTTTATCCTTGGAATGTTCGAAACTTAACCTATTTACTTATAAAACATTGTTATTTATAGATTAAAGTAAAAAGTCTTGCAAATTTAAAGCTTTTTTTGAGCTTTTTTCATACATACACAAGTTGCATTGAACACGAAGGAAAATAAATAATTGTTAATTAAATTGAGCAAGTTTGTTTCCTGTCAATTGTTTTACAGAGGTTTATAGACCGACAAGTTACCTGTCCCGGGATAACTAAATTATGATAGCTCACTAGCGCCCTTTTTTTCATTTGATTTACAATTTGACAACGAATCTTTACATCGACCGCTTCGACATTTGTATTACTGTCTTAACATTTATAAAGTGAATGTAAGAGATGACACATTTTAATAAAAACATGTCGGTAGTAGAAACCCACCTTAGAGATAGCTTATGTTACTCGTGCACAGAAACTTTGCTGATGTATTTAACAGACGTGCGCCTGGAAAAAGTAATCGGCAAACTTTCTGTGCAGTTACAAACTTACATTTATATCACAAATCAGAATCTATATCATTGATCTGTATAAATGGATAGGTAGAAATGAGAGTTCCGACTTGTACTGTTGATATTGATAACAGTTAATTTTATCTACTATTATTTCCGAAACTCTTCATTGCGACAAACCACAACCATCAGCGGCGAAATGGCGAAAATCAAATAAAGAAAAAATACTTCAGTGTAAAACCTGTCCATTTATAAAGATCAATGATCTATACATTAACTGGGTATCATTGTGTTGCCATATCCTTACAATAAATAACCAATCGTGTATTTCCCAACTTTGTAACATTCCGACTAGTCTATGAACGGCAACACCATTGAATCTCAGTGTTTACACCCATTAATATCTATTTAAGTACCTAAAATGTCTTATTCTAATTAGAATTTTGGCATAATGATACATAGCCGTGTATGTAAAAGTGAAGCAATAATCGTTATTAAAAAATAAGGAAATAGTATTTTGCTATAACGCAAAAATATGTAATCACGGCTAATGTCAGAATTATATAAACCATTACATTACCCATTATATATTTTTTTAATGTCATAATTGCGAAACTCATAAAAAAAAACAATTTAATTATGTAAATTAAAAATGTCAAAATCTCTTGTGTTCTATACGATTGTTTACGATTATCTGTGGTCTTCACAATTATTGGAATGTTGAATCAATGAGATTATATCCACGTTTTCAAACGTTTAAACTCAATAAATTAATAATAAAAAAACTATTTGGTAACAGATTCGAATTAAAATCAATCTTAAAAAGATAATCTAGAGGTATTTCGAATAATTACTTATAGTTATAGTAAAAATAGAATAATGAGAAGTTACGGATCCTTATAATTCATGTTTGTTCTTTTCCTTCACCAAAAAAAAAAAGAATTAAAAAGATAACTATTGCAAGTCAACCTATTAATTTGTTTGCCAGTACGTCGTTATCGTATACAAATATCAAAAATAAAGATTACATTTACGGCCTAAACTTTATCTAAGTTTCCAAAAAATGCAAATTTTGCATAACCTTAATTGTTTCAATATGCCAAAATATATTGCACAAAAGCAGTGTTGGATAAAGTCGTATTTACCCATCACTTCGCAAACACATCTTTATATGGTAACCCCACAGAAAACTCGAGAGATTCTTGATTCCCGCGTTTTCACGAGACATCAATTACCACGCGACTAATGCGCGGGAATTTTTATTTTATATTAACATATTTGATACTAAAATACACTAATTATGATATAATCGACTTACATTAACTTAAAAGAATTCTGATGAGCAATTTAACTTTAATTCTAAGAGAGTTCTTGCGGAAAGATTCAGTTCTACGCACAATTTCATACATTCACATACATTCATGACCTTATAGCGCCGTTTTACAAAATGATATCTGAATTTACTGCCGAAATATTATTTCATTTAAATCTTTTTACATCTATACTATTATAATAAAGCGTAAACACACACTTCTTTGTTGCCTAACATGTCAGCAATTACAATATATTTTTGAATAATTCTCTTTTTAATAGAAAGCCCTACAATTACGTCACGCTTTAGGCTATATATGTTCACGTTATTAAACTTAGTAGGTAAATAAATTGGACAGAAATACTAAGTTGCTGCCAACATCAAGGAAACAAGATTACCATGGATTGTCAATATGTCATTTTGACATTTGCAATTGATAATTTGACAAATGTAAACGATAAAGGAAAGTTTTTATAATTTCCTGCGGATGAAGCCGCACGGGAACAGCTGTTTAAAATAATTGGCTGAGAAAACAGTGTGTACATATATCCCTAGATGGCGTTAAAAACATTAACCGCTAGCTATTTATAAAATTGTTTAGATCAAGAAATGGTTTTTAAGAAATAACAGAAAACGGCCTTCTACAGATTAACTCAAAGATTTTAACTAAAATAACTATCAGGTAACTTGAAGACCCTACACCTTCTGTGTTCTGACAAGATGAATGAATTGTCAGAATCTATTAACGATTCTCTCTCGAGACAGAAGTTTGATTTCACAAATCCACTTCTGTTTAATTCGTCTAGACTTCTACTTAGATATTCTGGTCTAGTGACGAATTTTAACTCCTGTAAACTCTCATTTGGTGTTGAAGATTGATTTAACGGTTGGTACATATTATGTAGTTTATGTGATCCGTGTAAAAGTGAAGTCCTACGTAAAGTTTCTTTGCCTAATTCCATTATTTCTATAGAGTTTTGTCCGATGACGAAGTTCTTGTAAGCTTTGACGAAGATTGTTATTAATATTGTTAGACCGATGAAAATCATAGAGTAGCATATGAGTGGGGCTGCGATGGGGCCCACGGTGGTGGCGAGGAAGATCCAACGCCAGATGGAAGGTGTCACTTCATGGATACCCTGGAAAATAAAGATTAGTGTTTAGATGTTTGATTTGGGTATATCACGAGAATATACTAGAAAGTTATTGGCAAAATTAAAATGAGATTGGTGTGCTTTATTACATTGAAGATTATGCAACGAATAGTTTCCCACAAAACGTCATATGCATGAGATAAATAAAAGAATAGTTGCTCAAATAAAAAATGTAAAAAATACTGTTGATAATTCTAAACAAAGTGTAAAATTGAATCTTTTTTAGGTTACTTTGAATATTTCTAACCTCTTCAATCCACATAACAGGAAACATCATGTCCGGGAACTTGTGAATGTTATTGACCTTGATGTTGGGCGCGCGGTTCACCTTCAGGTTCATCTGCACTCGCACGAAGCCTTCCAAGGGTACACCAATTTTCTGCAATAAAATAAACAATACAGAAACGGGTTTTTATAAAGAAAACCGTTATCCAGATACTTAAATTAAGTGGAATAATTGGAAACTAAAACATCAAACATTCGTTTTATGTAAAATATTTTGACTACGGTTCCTTTACAAACTTCTAATGGGTCTAAAACTCAACAGTTATTTTGATGATTTTCGTATACTTAACGTCTATCAAAACTCCTTATTCTGTGGTTAATTCGAGTTAAAACGTTCATAGCTTACATCTTGTATATAAAAATAAGTTTCATGCCGTTTCTTGTCAGGCTTGAGTCCTTCAAACGGCTCGAGAAGCGTCGGGTCTGCGTCATAAAAGTGCGGGTACGACAAATAAACCGGCGCATCTGAAAAAAAAAACAATTAGAATATCCATTACAATTACAATTAATTTTGTTGCTTCATTTCTAGCAATAAGGTCTAGTTTCGCTTACTGTATTGACAAGGGCTGATGTTCTGTAGACCGCGAGGTGGACACTCCTCGCCTTCGCAGTAGCATCGGTTGTCAGGGTTGAGACGTGCGCACTCTAATGTCGAATTCGGCGGCGTGTAGAGCCCAGCTTTAATACCTACGCAATAAATAGTTTATTCGAGCTACTCTATTCAGTTTTATTTAATTTCACAATGAAATTTACTGACCATCTTTGTAGATATCATTCCTGTATTGCAGCGGCAGGATCCTGCACAGATCCTTGTCGTAAACATACACCAGGTCGGACTTGGTGACAGCGCGCGGCGGAAAGAATGAACCTTCTGATGCCCTGTTAAACAAATATACGAATTAATTGTGCGTAATGTTTATACAATTATAATTCTTATTGCCTTATTACTGTTTGTTAAAAACAAACAAGGTAACAAGTAATGAAACAATCAAAGGGTCCGCCTGATGAAAAATTAACGGCAAAAACAACTAACAAATGAATTGCAGATGCTTTATTTAGCGTTGATAACAGAATTTAGTTTAACACAAAAATTAGTTTCACATAATTCTATTATTTAGGGCAATAACGATAAAACTTCTAGTATTCATACATTAAAATTACAGCCTGACTTGACAGTTTTCTGTGTATTTCACAAGCTAACTCTAACATGTACGAGTTAACTTTTTTGTTTTTATTTATTTAAAGTATTAGTTAAGATGGATGAGTAGATAATGTTTGTTTTAAGTTATATGGAATGATTACATCTTTGTACATACGTGTAGGTGTTAATTAGATGTTATTTTCCGCAATCTACGTGATTTTTCATAACTTATAAGGGTTACGGATAACTTACTATCGTTTACTTGCTACAAAAAACAATAATAGATCTGTTCTATTTTTTTAATCTATGTTATTTTGCTTATTTAATCTATGTAATATTGAGTTTGCAATCTATAACGTGTCTAAATAATATAGATTAGTTATCGATTTTCGATTTTTATTCTTATAGAAGTCGGAATCGACAGATTTATAGTTATAACTTATGAATTAAAAAAAACACTGTTTTTTCAAATTAATAATGACCATAACAAATAATGAGAGTAAATAAATTTTTATTACTACTACAGCCGTACGTAATCGAATTGGATTTCGATTCTATTATTTCTGTCATCGCTAAATTCTCTACACTATAATCAATACTAAAATTGTCCTATGTTAGTTGATAAGAAAATAATTATTTTAGTCGAGTTTGATATTTAAACCGAATATCGATAGTTCCAAATTGTTCGCTGCGTGTTTGTTTCGTCACTACGATACCTGTCTATTAAGTATGGCATTTGCTTTCATACAAATTGAATTCGACACTTCATATACGTCATTTATCAAACTAATCTAAATTATTTAGACAAACTATAGTTTTAAATGATTATTCAAGTTTAAATGATGTAACGAAGAAAATAATAGGTAACCAAGGGCAAAGATCGCGTGCTAACGAAATATAAGAACATACTTTGTCGCACATACATAGGTATTAAGTGATGTTTGTCAAACAAACATATTACTTGTGTTCGTCCGTCTGTTTGTATGTTTGTACTGCCGAAGGTCCCGGACTCGTTTGCGTATCGATTGCCTTTTATTTAAATAATATTATGAAAGCTCTTGTACTTAAGTAACCGAATGTTTTACTGTCTTTTGTGAATTTTACTGTCTTACTCAGAATCGTTAAGTGAGCTTCCTTAGTTTTCTTTCAATATAAGACTAGCTGTTGCTCGCGACTCCGTCCGCGTGTAATTTAAAAAAAAACATAGTGAATAGCTTATGTGTTATTCCAGACTATGCTCTACATCTATGCCAAATTTCATCGAAATCCGTTCAGCAGTTTTGGCTACAAACTCTAACAAACATTCATCCATCCATCCATTCATCTAAACTTTCGCATTTATAATATTAGTAAGAAGTAAGATATAAAAATACAAATATTTCTACTTCATAATATTATAATAAATGAGTAAACAGGCACCTGACTTCGCCGAAATAGCGAAGCGACCGCTGCCGATTGACATTTGCAGACTTATTGCCCAGACTTAATCGACGCGCGCATAGAAAATACTTCGCCTCCTTTGGCGTTTCTACTGCCGTCAAATACAATTTCCCTTCCCTTGTCTTATGAGAAAAGGGAAGGGGAAGAGAATTGAAATGAGGTTTCCAGTACTAATGCAGTAAAAGGGTGTTCACCGAATTACATCCATTTGATTCCTGTCTTGTCGTGGTATTGCACCGTGCAAAAGATGTTAAAGCGGGCACTACTTTTTAGTCTAGACTCAGACTATGTACACTAAGGAGTCGCCCTTAGTAAAACTACAGTTAGTATACGAAGATATTTTTTATGTTTTTTTACTTTTTTGTATTAAAATATGGCTTACGAGAACAAATAAGTATTCTTCGCTAATTCGTTCATGTTTGACAATATTTACAATGTACATAAAAATTATTATTTATATTGAACATAATTGCTTGTTTAACGGTTTTTGGTACGTTTTCAGCTGTATGACACATCATGTATGAAGTTGTATGACTTCATACAATGTAAATAAGATTTATTTATGACAGCAAATGAACAATAGATTGTTTTAAAATAATTGAAAAGGTAACTTATTACTTTGAAGACTATTGCTCAACGGTTGGAATTTTAAAAAGTTTGGTGTTCGATTTCCGAACGAAAAAAAAAACACTAACGATTTAAAATAAAATCACCGACCTCTATTAATGGACAGGTTAAAAATTGCGATGTTACGTCTACTGATTTTTGACATGACATGACGGTGAAGAATTTTCGAATTTTTATTTTAATTATCAACAAAATGCGCGTTTAGGGTATAAGAGTCGGAAGTAATAGTTTTAATTACCAAACAATCACCTATCTATTTATACAGATCAGAATACTGATTTAAGATAACGGCTTTTTGTTCCAAAATTTAATCAATACGCAATTTAGAAGATTTTGATTGTTTCACAAGAGAGAAAACTTAAGTCAAGAAAAATAATGAAGGTAGTGAATAACATAGTTTTGTAATGTCATGTCATTGTTTATCAATGTCATCATTACAGATTAGTGTCATATTTCCGTTTCTCAGTAATACGGGGAAATACCTGCCGTGAACAAGTGCAAGGATTTATTGTTTGTTTTGAGGTCTTCAGTGATGTGACTCTAAGATATAATCGTGCATGCATCGTAAAACTTAATAGTGATGTGACATTTTCATTGGTACTTTTCTAACCTCAATTAACGCGTATTTTATAATTGAATCAATTATTTTAATTTTAGACATTATTATAAAGTATTACATTAGTGACCCTGAAGAAACTTTTATTATACTGAAAATCGTACTGGCTTTCGATGTACAAGATTTTTTCTTTTTAACTACTAAATGTTTTTAAATACTTGTCTTTTTTCTTATAATATAAGGTAGCAAACGATCAAGCGGCCACCTGAATCCACCGAAATGGAAAGCGACCGCTGCCCATAAACATCCGCAATTGCAGATGCGTTGCCTACCCTTAATTGACGAAGGAGAAGACGCACAAATATTTCCCCTTCCTATGCGTCTCCTTTACCGTCAAATCTACTTTTCCTTCCCATCCTTTCCTCTTAAGAAAAGGGTGGAAAGGAAAAGGGACTAAAATTAGGCTTCCGGCACTACACTCATCAAACGAAACGCGGAATTACTTCCACTTCACGCCTGTTTTCTGTGTGATCGTGGTATTACCGGGCGAGCCGGCCTATTCGTGCGATGTTAAGCGGGCTCTACCACTGTAAAATAAATCTCGTTTTACGCCTGATTTTCGATCTTAGTACTGTAGTGTCCATAAATGTATTTATGGTACATCACTACGTCTATTATGCGGGACAGTCGTGATGAAAATTGTTATCTATCATTTTATTGTAATTACGAACTTGGCGGAAGATCCGCACATTTACAGATTAAACCAGCAATCGTGATAATAACGATTTCCTATTTAACATTGCAGAACAAATGATGACTTTGTTTTCTTTATTAGCAACTATTTATTATTGGAATGAAATGATGAATTAGCTGAAGGAATTAAATAGACAATTTAATCTAAAATTACGTGAATTATAATAACAGAGGTGAATTACGTAAACGAATGCAAATAGCTAAAAAAGGCAGATAAAAACAAAGAATTTAACTTGAATAATTTAATGAATAATGAATGTACTCCATGCCACATCTAGTTTACATATTTCGATGCAATTCAATAATGAACATTGTTTTCTAAGTCAAGTTTTCGACTACCTACATTTAGTATTTTTATATTAAACTCTTGTATGCTTACAATCATACTAATATTATAAATGCGAAAGTTTAGATGGATGTTTGTTAGAGCTTATAGGCTAAACTGCTGAACGGATTTCGATGAAATTTGGTATAGATGTCGAGGATAGTCTGGAAGAACATATAAGCTACTTTTATCCCGGAAGTAGCTACAGTTCCCGTGGGATTCATTAATTTAGTTTTTTAATGTTTACTCGATCATTCTGCAACGGTTCAACATATCTTATTGAAATTTGGCACAGATATAAAACAAAGACTGAAGTACACATGGGATAAGGTTCATTCGAGAAATGTCCGGTTCCCGAGCGATACGTAGCTTTTTGTTATTTATATAGTTCGTATGTTTTTAATACCACGCGGACGGAGTTGCTGGCAACAGCTAGTTTGTAATATTACATTCGATTGTTCGAAACCAATAACAATTAATATCTTTACAATAATTAAAATAACTATATGCAATAAACACGAGTCGGTTTTAGTTCTTACACGATCTAATAATACATGTGTAAATTGTTTCTGAGTAAATAATAAAACAAGAAATATAACGTTTGCTATAATTGTATATAATTGAATGCTGGATATAAACACTTTTAGAGCCTGTATTTAGATGACATACATTTTTCATTGTCAAATTAATAACACGTATAATATAAAAAATAAATATATAACTGATAACGTAGCTTTTTAATGGTGAAAGAATTTTTGAAATCGTCCCAAAAAAAAAACAAAAATACAAATATATCCTTTATATTATTAGTATAGAAATAGATTTCTTTTAATATGACTTATCGATGGCTCCTACGTAGACTGTGGTAAGTCACAATTTTACGTATCGTAATTTCTATTATCTTTTTTTTTATTTTATATTATAAGGCGACAAACGAGCAAGCGGCCACTTGAATCCGTTTAAATGGCGAAGCAACCGCTGCCCACAGTCATTCGCAATTATAGATGCCTTAATCGATGGAGGATGAGACGCCCATAAAGAGGATATATCCTCTTCCCTTGAGTCTCCTTTCCACCAAATCCACTTTTCCTTCTCATCCTTCCTTCTTAAGAAGAAGGGAAAAGGGACTAAAACTTGCCACCTTAGGATCCCCCTTTTACTATGTTTTGGGGGGAAGGGCAGGGCCATTCGCCGGCACTGCGTATTTGGAGGTTATCTCATAGTTGGTACTCACCTAATATTATTGCAGGGTCTGTCCTTCCAATGAGGAAGGTGGTCCAGCCCGTTCACCTTGTCCAAGTAACCGAAGCGATCCATCTGTTCCCCTGAGTAGATTGTTGACACCTCATCCAGTGTGCCGTTTCTCTATTGAATATGTTTACATTACAATGAGTTACAGTTTACTTGGAACATTTTTATGTATCTAAATCCATTAAGGGATTTTTGAGCAATTTTGTAAGGAGTCTACCTTAAGTGCTACGTGCGCATAACTTTTTCAAAACTAGCGCACAACCGTTTAGTCTTGTTTTCATTCCTATGATCTTATGGTTACACTACTCGATTTTTAGTTGTGCAACTAAACAGTTGAGTTGCGAAACAATCGACAATCGCACAACAATGTGCGATAGTTTAGTCAAAGTTGTGCACCCGCTCTTATAAGGGGATATAAATAAATAAAAGGGGGGTCTTACTTACGGCAAGGAGAAGTCCCATCTGACTGTTAGGCCGCTTGCCTCTTGGATAGAAATAGTGCGCCAAAGTCACTAAGGGGTCATTGTATCTGTCAATAGAAAATAATTTATTAATATTTGACTTACAATCTCGATTTCTACTAAAGAAAACAATTCTATTGCCAATTTTATTTCGTAGTAAAAAAATTTTACTAGTGTGTGGTGGCGCTAACGTGTCTTTTGAGAGACAACCTTAAAATCTCCCGCACACTGCAGACTATCGGCCGTTTAGTCGGATGAACAATTACTTTGAATTGAATTTGATGTGTGGAGATGCGCTTATCACTTCTTGTTATAATTGATTTTGGCTTTACTGGCGGCCAATTTAATCTCAATTGGCCGACATAGCCAAGCCCACCTTAGAGTAATATTTAACTTACGTATCGATTGGTGACAAAATTTTCAGGAAATTTGATGAGCGGTCTTTGCTCCAAAAATTGCCCACTTCAGAGATCAATTAAACATAGCCTTGCCAGGCTAGGATTAGGCAACCCGTTTACAACATGTTTAAAAAAAATGTGCTCTTTCACGCAATGTATGTAGGTTATATCAGGAAAGCCGATGAGGGAAGGTCATCACTAGTGTTGTGTCTATAACGTTTGTAGTCTGTAGAGGGCCTAATACATACCCGAAAACAAGTTCCTCAGCGGTGACGTGCACGAATGGCTTTGCCCGCTCTTTATACGTGATGGCCAGTCCAGTCACCAGCAAGTTAAATACGAACCCAGCTAGGTTCGGAGAGAATGATGTTACCGTCTGTAATTAGAGAGTAAAATAAGCTTGTTTTTGGCAATCATCGGTGGCTCAGTTGTTAATCACTAGACGTGTAATCAATAGGTTTTGGGTTCGAATCCCGTCGTACTAATTACGGATTTTATGCACTAAAACAGCTTTTTTTATTAATTGCATTGTATTTTCGGATTTATAATTCTACAGATAATAAATTAGTCTATATAAAAAAAACTCTGGAAAATTTTAGTAAATGTAAATCATACGCCAATATTAATGTGAATAAAACTGCATACAAAATTTACATATTCCGATAAACCTGTACCCGGAAAAAGTCAAGGAAATTACCTCGGACGTTTTGAATTTAATTTAATGATTTACCTAATGTTACTAGTGGAATTCTGATTCTTGTAATTCGAAACATTCATTAGTAGAAACCAAATTATTTAATTCTAACCTTTTGTTTTCCACCATTGAAATAAAAATGGCGCTTGCAACGTATCTTATGTCGTTGCAAATGTCAGATGATTTGATTGCCGTTTTTTTTTTTGAATTTTTTTTTTTTTTGAAATTATAGTTACATTGTTTTTATCAAATCATGCGGTAACCATTTTAAACTTTACCAACATCTTTCATTAATTTTATCACAGTATATTTTTGAATAATTATCTCTTTAATAAAAAGCCCTATACTTACGACACGCTTTAGACTTTATATTTTCACGCTAAAATTAGGGAGTAAATAATTTGGAAAAACTCACATGTGGGAAAGGGACCATAAACTTCAAACTGCCAACATTAAGGAAGCAAGGTTATTATGGTAACGGTAATTTTGACATTTGCAATTGAGAATTTGACAAATGTATACAATAATTTTTTTATAATGTCATGCGGATGAAGCCGTACGAGAACAGCTAGTGTTATATAAAACTTAGCAAAACAGTTATTGTTTATTTTATTTCCAAATTCATGTCGATAAAGCTACCTAAATTCATCAAATAAAAGATAAAAATAAACGAAAATTAATTTGCAATAACGTTGCACAAAGTAAGCAAAAAAACGGGTTTTAGTGGTAAACAAATTCAATTTTAGTTGTGGCGTTTTGAAATCATAAATATGCTAGTAAATAACTGAGAATCTAACTTTTTACTATATAATATGTTTTTTTAGTATGGTTTTTATGTCTCTCATATATCAACGCTTGGTAATTTATACGTTCATACGGAAAACATCGTGATGCATCCTGCACATATTTGCAACGAGATTCAAAGATATTTGTGAAGTCGGTAGTTCAGCGGGGTTATGTCCTAGCCACCGATAGGCAGGCTCAGAGCTTAGGGTACCATCAAACTTACCAGCAGCGGTATGTTGGGCACGAGTAGTTTCTGTGACTTATCGACGGACATCTCAGGCACGAAGCGAAGGATCTTCTTGTGCTGGAAGGTCACAGTATCGTTGTCGTGGAACTTTATGTTCACCTTCTCCATGTCCTCTCTGAAATCAACTGATAATGTAGATAAATCCTAGCTAGAGATCAAGTAATGCTGGTGAAGTAGGTATAGGTTGACAAACGAGAGGCGGCCACCGAAATACGTTAAAACAGTAAAGCGACATCTGCCCATAGATATTTGCATTTGCAGATGAATTGTTTAGAAAGAGAAAGAGTAGAAGTCACCCTTTTTATCCCTCCGTCCTCTACTAAATTCTATCATGTTCCTATCTTCACCATATAAGAATAAGATGGGAAGGGAAAAGTCACTAAGGGCCTGTCCCACTAAATTATCTGATAACAATCTAACGCGTATTGATGGAAATATCGGATTTTGTTCCCTTATCTGACTGTGACGTCATTTTTAAGCTATCTGTGCGTCTATCAGCCAGTGGTGGGACAGGCCCTAAAAATTACGCTTATCAGATGAAATGCGGAATTACTACCACTAGATAACTGTCTTCTATTTGGTCGTGATATTGGTAAAAGATCTAGTTATTGCTGAAGTCTACCTGATAGCTATACACTAGAATCTTTTTATTGTAAGTGTGTACAAACACAAACACAAAGTACTATGTAGGTCGTATTAGTTAGTTATATCCTTTTAAATACACAAAAGACTATATTTAGTCTAGTCTAGATCTGTGTTTTGTTTAACGATTTATTGCTTGTTTTATTTATGTATCTTTAAACTATTATATTTAATACAAATGTTACAAAGATACATTCATACATCGTGTTGACGTTAAATATGAAATATTAATTTGTTTGTGATGTTTGAATGGAATAAATTTCAATATATTAAAGTGACCTCTTGAAATAGTTGATCTTTAGGTTAAAAAGAACAGCGAGAAATGGAAAAAGAATATATTTTAATATTTATTTAACTTTATAAATGATGTTTATTTGGGTATTGTTTGTGTTGTTATTTAATTAAATTATACTTCATTCTAGGATTAAGATTAAGATTCTAGGGAAAAGAAGTCCAGGAAGGAGAAGAACATCGTGCCTTAAAAATCTTCGCCAATGGTACAACAAAAGTAGGCTTTCTATATTTAGAGCTGCTGTGTCCAAACTTCTAGTCGCTGTAATGATTGCCAATCTTCGTTAGGAGACGGCACCAAAAGAAGAATACTTCATAGTGATACTAAAAATAGATGGATGGATGTTAGAAGATTCCTCCGAAACGTCTTAACAAATCTCGATGTTTGTCACAGACTAACAGTATGGAAGAAGATAGGCTTGTTATTTTTTTTAAATTTCGAACTTATTCAGTTGCGGACCAAAGCTAATCCTACTAATCATACTTCATACTAATTATACTAATATTATAAATGCGAAAGTTTAGATGGATGGATGGATGGATAGATGGATATTTTTTGGAGTTTGTAGCTTAAGCGGCTGAACGGATTTCACTCACTTCACTTCACTTCACTCACATTCACTTTCATTTTTTTTAATTACACGCGAATGGAGTCGCGGGCGAAAGCTAGTATTATATATGCGAAAGTTTAGATGGATGGATGTTTGTTAGAGTTTGTAGCGTAAACTGCTAAACGGATCTCGATGAAATTTGGCATAGATGTAGGGGATAGTCTGGAAGAACGCATAGGTTACTTGCTTTTGTTTTTTTTTAATTCCACGAGGATGGAGTCGCGGACAAAAGCTAATTGTTGAATAAAAATGGAACGCTGTATTTGTAATTTGAATTATTATATTTTTAAGATAGCTAAAGTACTATTGTGTAGTAAATGTCTTATAGTTTATTAGATTTTTAGAGATAAATACGCGAAATAGTATTGTGCAAGTGTTGGAGCTAGTTTAAGTATTACGACAATAAACTGGGCCCCGAGCGTGCCCATAACTGGTACAATCGAGAAGACAAGTGAATTAGAAAATTCTTTGACAAATACTAATTATTATTTTTTTACTGTTTTGAATATCTCTACGATAATACTGCCATCTTATTCCCTTTTAAAAACAGGGAGGAATTATTTCATACATACTTGTAACTAAAAGTAATTTGTTTTCTAAAAAGCCGGTTACGGAAATATTTCGAGGTTAAATAGAGTAAGTACATTGTATATTTATATAACATTTTATACAAATTTAGAATAACTATCTATTAATATTTTACTGATAAAATTAAATTATATATTTCTTTAACGGTTATGTCGCCGATTGTACATTTATCGTGTGAGGAAATCATGCTATTTGCTGTGTAATTATAATACATTCGACCAATTATGGTGCATGAAAATTATTTTTTTTTGTAGCGAAAGATCGAATGATAAAATTATTAAAATGCAATAAACTTATCGCTATTTATTGTGAAATGTATTTTACATATTGGTATTACTCCTTTTTTAAATATTTAAGCTTACAATAAGATGAATTATTAAATAAAATTACAATACTAAAGACGTAAACAAAATTGTATAATCTTAGTCGAATTAATAATTAACATTTAGTTGGTAATAAAAATATACAAATATTTGCACTTTTATGCATCGAATGTATCATAAAGCGGATTTGATCATTGCGCGTTGCAGTAAAACTGTTAACATTTACAATACGAATAATAAAATAATTAGCTATTTGGAAACTAAATCTAATTTATTACATATTTATGGTTAGTTGTATTTTTTACATAATTTACGACTTTTTACCAACACTGGCATTCTATATTTTAAACGATGAAAGAAAAATTAAAACAATTGATACTGACTTCAATTTTGGGTTTTGTTGCTATGACGTCACAAGATGGCGCTGATTCTTGCTTACGTATTTAAAACAGTAATTAAATTATTTTTTTTTAATTTTGTTGCTATGACGTCACAAGATGGCGCTGATTCTTGCTTACGTGTTTAAAACAATAATTAAATTATTTTTTTTGATTTTGTTGCTATGACGTTACAAGATGGCGCTGATTCTTACTTACGTATTTAAAACAAAATAATTTTATTTCATTGACATTTTGTGATGGCTTTTCTTGTAGTCTTTAATTTAACAAGTATGCAATGCCGTGGAAAAAAAGCTTTAATAACGTTTTCAATACTTAGCGCCCTGGGCGAGATTTCTACGGAGTCATAGGAAATTTTCCCTGGGCGTACGCCGACGCCTTGCAAACGCCGGCCCTCGTAATTAAAAAAACCGCTTACCTATACACAAAAGGTCCTATTTCAGCGAGTTTAGGTTTCTCCCCGTGCTCGATGAAGGCATGAGGGTTGGTAACGTTGAAGATGTACACCTTGGTGAGCCTCACCACACCCGGCTTCTGCCAGTAACTGTAGCTCAGAGATCCGTTCCATAACCGGAGCTCCTGAAGACAAAGGTATTTTAACCGACGTGTAAAGGAATGGGTTCCTAATTCATCTATGTTTTTTTCATTTTAGGTGGATTATGGATGGGTGGATGTTTGTTAGAGTTTGTACCCTAAACGGCTAAATGAATTTCGATAAAATTTGAAATGTGAGTGGATTCAGATATGACGACTGATAGAAATGTATGAAAGAGCGGCACATACTGAGCCGACCCTTTGTAGGGAGGGATGAGGGCATGTTGATGAGGAATATAACGCAAGGTAAACTGAAGTGTGTTCTTTTATTTAGTTGAGGTTTTTAAATTCAGTAGTACCTTTTGTTATTCTATTAATGTTTATGTCTAGTTTCCACTAAGATAGTTATTTAGTCAACTACTGTGTTTAGAAGCTTAATTAGTCTATATTTGCTTATCTAGTCGACTACATTTTTAGACCATTTAAGTTATAAAATTACTAAGTCTTAAACTTACTAGCTTTATGCCAACATTAGAGCTTGCTGTATGTCTCACTAATATTATAAATGCGAATGTTTAGATGGATGGATGGATGGATGTTTGTTAGACTTTGTAGCTTAAACGACTGAACGGATCTGCATTAAATTTGGCATAGACCTAGAGCATAGTCTGGAAGAACACATAGGCTACTTGCTTTTGTTTTTTTTAACTCCACGCGGACGGAGTCGCGGACGAAAACTAGTTGTTTAATATTTCCACTAATCCGGCATCAATTATTGAAAATTACTAGCATTAGTGGAAATGTAATTTGTCAAAGTGGAATTGATGTTTAACTTCACGCTTATGACTAATAGAGGTAGGTAGATTACACTCACTCTAAATATGATGTAATCCAGCCAGGGCACGAAGGAGAGGATGATCCCGAGGACCACGGTGCAGATGCTGAACATGACCACTGCCAGGCGTCCTGAAAGAGTATCTCGGTTAGTATTAAAGTTGGCAACATTGGAGTAAGAGAATAAACAGTGGTAGAGCAATAATATCTTTTAAAGTACACAGAAGACGCATGAATTGGAAGTAATTCAATATTTCGTTTGATTAGTGTATGTCGGCTTTATTGTAGATCTTTTTCCCATTTTAATAAGAAACAGGAAGTGAATTTGGCGGAGAAGGGTACATGTAGAAGGGGTAATTTATCTGTGTTCCCTTTCCACCTATTATGTAGGTGGTAGTGCCCGCTTTAACATCTTAGCACGAATGGACCGGCACGCCCGGTGTAATACCACGACCACACAGAAGACAGGCGTGAAATGGAAGCAATTCCATGTTTCGTCTGATGAGTGTGTTGCTGGAGACCTAATTTAAGTCCCTTTCTCTTTACCACCCTTTTCTTATAAGGAGAGGATGGGAAGGTGGAGGAGATGCATAGGAAGGGGCAATATCCTCTTTATGTGCGTCTCCTCCTCCGTCGGATAAGGGTAGGCAACGCATCTGCGATCGCGGAAGTCTATGGGCAGCGGTCGCTTCGCCATTTCCGCGGATTCAGGTGGCTGCTTGCTCGTTTGCCACCTTATGTTATATAAAAAAGGAGGCAATTTGCAATTACGGATATCTATAGCGGTTGCTTTGTTATGTCGAATTCAAGTGGCTGTTTCCTCGTTAGCATTATAATATATTAACTGTCGCCCGCGACATTGAACGCGTGAAATTAAAAATATAGCCTATTTTACTCAGTGATTACATAGCTTTTGAATGGTGCAAGAATTGAAATCCAGTAGTGTTTGAGTTATTTCAATACATACAAAAATCCAAAAACACCAATCCAAAATGTCTCTGCTTTATACTCGTAATCAGTATAGATAAATAAATATTTACTAGAACTGTAGGATAAACTTTTTGGGTATTATAGTGATGTTCTTTGCCATTGTTTTTCGTATTGACAATCTACGAGTACGTGGAAAAATTTTATGATGATTTGTATTGAGTTAACTTAACCTCAAACATTGGATACGTTAATTAATAAAACAATACTTTAACCAATAAACACAAACGCTTTTAGCATGTTGATAAAGATCCAAGTTTTAAGTTCATGATTTTAATAATTAGAGCGTCGGTGGCTCAGTGGATTGAAAACTTGACTTGTAATCTACAGGTCTTGGGTTCGAATCCCGCTGTACCAATGTGATTTTCGATTTTTCGAATTTTCATATGTACTTAATTTACCCGACGTTCTTACGGTGAAGGAAAACATCGTGATGCAACCTGCACATATCGGCGAAGAAATTTAAAGATATGTGTGAAGTCGACCAACCCACACTTGGCCAGCATGGTTGACTATGGCCTAGTCACCCCTTACTTAGGGTAGGCTCCGAGCCCCTGGGTGGGGACGTATAGTGAGCTGGTGATAATGATTTTAATAATCCCTTATTTACATCATACTTTTTACTAATATCATAAACGTGAAAGTTTAGATGGATAAATGGACGGATGGATGTTTGTTAGTATTGTAGCCTAAACTGCTGAACGGATTTCGATGAAATTTGGTATAGATGTAGAGGATAATCTGGAAGAACACATAGGCTATTCACTTTCTTTTTTTTTAAATCCTCTCAGACAGAGTCGCGGGCAAAAGCTTTCATATATCGGAAATTGTCGTCGGTTTTGTCAAATCATTATCTGTCTGTAAAAGGCTACTAAGGCTCTTAGTGTACATTTAGTACGACATATTACTAAAGCACTAACAACCGAGTTCTGAAATAGATATAAAATACTTCGTTTTTTTATATCATAAGGTGGCAAACGAACACGCGGCCACCGGAATCCGCCAAAATGGCGAAGCGACCGCTGTCCATAGACATCCGCAATTGCAGATGCGTTGCCTACCCTTTTCCGACGGAGGAGGAGACGCACATAAAGAGGATATTTCTCCTTCCTATGCATCTCCTTCACCGTCAAATCCACTTCCTCTTCCCATCCTCTCCTTAAAGAGAAGGGCCTCCTCTAGAAAAGGGCGGTAAAGAGAAAGGGACTAAAATTAGGCCTCCGGCACCACACTAATCAGACGAAACACGGAATTGCTTCCATTTCACGTCTGTCTTCTGTGTGGTCGTGGTATTACTGGGGGCGTGTCGGCCCTGCAGTGCTAAGATGTTAAAGCGGGCTCTACCACTGTTAAATTCTTCGTAATCACCATTTACAATCTGAAACACGTTAATACTCTACATGTAAGAGAGGATTCACAACTTTGGTTAATCGCACGACTGTTGTGCGATTGTCGATTGTTTCCCATTCAATTGTTTAGTTGCACAACTAAAAATAGTTGAGCGCTCTTCCAAATAAGTTCATGAGAATCAAAGCAAGACTAAACTGTTATAGTCGAAGGTGTGCGAACGTCAAGACGCTACTTAAATGTCGTTTTAAGATTCGGCCTTTGCAACCCATTATATTAATACGGAATATTGTTAAAAACTACTAACTATATAATATCTCATCACCTGTTAAAATGTTAAACGCATACAAAAAGCATGATTTGTAGATCTTGCAAACGAGATTAACCAATATGGGTAAATATTATCTCGTAACTTGGAATTAAAACCGTATTCCCACTGCAAGATATGGACGTAGTGTTTATTTACATGCTGGCTTATCTCTGCTACGTTAGTGGAATTTTAAAAAAATAGGCTATGTTCTTCCAGATTATGTACTAGCTGTTGCTCGCGACTTTGTCCGCGTAATATTAAAAATGCTAGCTTATGTTACTCACAGATAAATTACCTTTTTAATGGTGAAAGAATTTTTAAAATCGGACTAGTAGTTTTCGAGTTATTTTAATACGTACAAATATACAAATTTTTCCTCTTTATTATATCAGTAAAGAAGTCTATGAATTTCATAGAGATCCTTTAAACCCTTTAAAATATACGTAACAAATATTTTTCCAAATTATAGCATATACCTTGTTACTTAGTTTTTTTTGTTCTGTTAAAGTATTTTAAAAATAATCTTAAGTCGTTAATGAGTTTTAAGGAAACACAAACACTTTAACCAAATATTTGGCAAACATATCCAAACATCCTGCCTCTCAGAATTCCAAACGGTTCAGTTCAGTGGCCTAAAGTTAACCGACAGATCCTTATCACGAGCTCAGTTAAAACGGGAAAAGTTTGCGAAATCACGTATTTCACTAACCAGTTCGTTACTGCGTCATAATTTACGTTAAAGCGGAAATACACGTGCCAGCAAAATGGGGTAGCACGTGCAAGCTACTGGCACAATCTGTACTTAATCAGCTCACTTTGTATCCCCACTGAGGGGTTCGGAGCGTACCCTTAGTTAGGGTGACTAGGCCATAGTAAATCGCTGGCCCACTGTGGGCTGACTTCACATATATCTTTGAATTTCTTCGCCGATATGTGCAGTCATCACGAAGTTTTCCTTTACCGTAAGAACGTCGGGTAAAAAATGTACATATTAAAATGAAAAATCATTGGTACATGGCGGGATTCTCACCCAGTATCTGTAACTATGTGGATGGCTATGGGTAGTGGTCTCTCCGTCAGTTGGGCGGATTCAGTTGGCCGCTTGCTCGTTTACCTCCTTATGATATAAAAAAGTCTATGGTTCAAAAAGTACAGTCGAGGAATGAAGCGGTGTTTCACTTTATAAGCCTGTCGTTTGAATGTTTTTTACGCGTTACACCGCGAAACTTTACAATATGCCTAGTTTATATCGTTGTGAGGAACAAGATAATTCTGTAATTGGAATCGCAGATTTTCGTGACTGTACATTCCTGTTATTGCGGCAAAAAGTTAACATTACTTGGAATGGATTATTTAACCATAGACTCATAAAATTCCATATAAATGTCGACGGGACAATAAACATTATATATGGTGTCATTAAATATGTAATTGTGCTTGTATTTTGCTGTGACGGATAATTGCTTATTCTGAAGATTGCAATTAACATGACCTTAATATCAAATAATTCTATTCTTACACGTGTATATTTCACTTAAAAACATCATTTAATAGATCTGTGGTTAAAACTTATGAGCTATATGAAATAAGCAATAGATAATCGGTAACAACTACGAGGTAAAAATCCCAGCTAGGTAGGTCTAAGAAACGGATGGTTTGCGTAAAAGTGAGAGTCGTGGGCGACAGCTAGTCTACACTTCTATAACTATATTAATGTAATAAATAGTGAAGATTTATATTTTTCTATGTATTTGTGTGACGCAAAAACTACTTGGCCGATTTTTAAATTATTTTCAATGTTAGAAAGGTAATTTATCTATGAGTCTCATAGGCTATGTTTTTTCATTTCTTTTTAATTATTTTTTTAATTTACGCGGACGGAGTCGCGGGCAAAAGCTAGTTAATAATATATAGACTACTTTTAGTTAAAATTCCGCGCGGAATGAGTTACGGACCAAAGCTATTCTTGAATGTAGTCACCAAATCACCACCTTCCCCTTTTCCCTTATGGAGGGTCGGCACAGTATGCTGCTCTTCCATACATCTCTATCAGCTATATCTGAATCCACTCCTTTCTTAAGCATATCCTCTTTCAAACAATCCATCCATACTTTCTTCGGTCTTCCTCTACTTTTGTAGCCATCCACATTCATTCTTAACACTTTCTGGTTTATGTCCCCATCGTCTCGTCGCATTATATGTCCATACCACGCTAAATAAAGTGTAAAGATAGTCACCACAATGGTATGAATACAAGCCTTCAATTTTATGACACAATAATGTTAATTTATTGAAAAAAATCTCATATTAAGTATGTCGTTGAAGACATTTTTATATTAATTATTACCCTGTAAATATAGTCTGTAGGAAGACATTTTTATTGAAAAGCTAGTATTTTTAACAATGGAATTGTCCTTGGTGTATCAGGATTTCATGCTATAGTAACCCTTATACAGGCGTGTTTAAGTCGCTAATCGCGTAAAGAATT